CAGATCAGCTCAGCTCTGGTTGTTGTGGCCACTTGGAGAGTGAACCACCAGATGGAAGATCTTTCCATATTTGCCTTTCCAACTTAAAAAAAGAGAGTGAAAGATTCCCTTGGAAAGGAGATGATCAAATGATTACACTGCCAAATACTGGATTGTAGATTTTTACCTCCCAGATCTCTTTTAATTAAAATGGTCTCAAAAATGAGAAACAACTCATTTTTTAATGTCACTTGCAAAATGGATTTGTAAGACTGTTTCTGAAACAGGAGCCTGGAAATCTTTGCATTTCAATATCTATATACCTATTTTTATATTCTCATTTGGGTACATATGTGTATATGTATTGGTTCCTTAAATTATAGTTTGTCATAGGCTAATTAACTGTATGTATTGTACATACATCAGATAGTTCTGAAATAGGAAAAGCTGCATAAATTTTTATGTGAGAATGTTTTTGACTGGTACTTTCTTATATACAAAATAAATTCCCTATAACAAGTTGGTAAAGATTATAATTTTAAGATGGAACATCTTTCCAAGATTATGTTCTGCTGCATACTGTAATGCAGCATGCAGTGAGTATCTAGGTTCTGTGCATGTATTGCAGATTTTTGAAAAAAAAAATTAAGTTTTTCAGATGTTAGAAATAGTTAACTGATGCTTATAATAAACCAAGTCCTTTGCAAGAAAAAACCTGCATTCCTTAATCAGTGGCTGCTTATCCTTTTTAGTTGTTCTTTTTGGCTATTTCTGCTGCTCTCGTGAATGTAGGAGATGTTCCAGTGATATTCCAGATGGTAGCCAGCAATAACATTGCGCCATGTTCCCTGTCCCCCAGCCCAGAGAGCTGCTTCCCCAATCAGCCTTTAAGAACTTCCAGAGTAATCCCTTCCCTTTTTGAAAGGATTACATGTTTTAACTGTTTATTTGCATTGTGTTGGTTTTCACAAGTCAGTTCATTCTAAATTCTTGTAGAGGATTATTTTACTTTTTCTGAGACTGTATGCTAAGAAACCAGTAGATATGTTCACCAGATATCTACTAGCTTCCGTAATTAGGATTGAGCCAGGGTTCAGTGTCTTGGTTTAACAAGGGGGCTAGACATTTATCAAGATTCTGGCATGCTGAAGGGAGTGAGTTCCCTGGGCTATTTCTATGGGCTGCCTGCAGGCCCAACAGATGAGGAGGAGCTGTCACTCTCCAACATGGACCCAGTGGTCTCGCCTTCTACCCACCTGTATCAAGGCAGCTCCCCTGCAGACAGTGTAGAAGGAGTAGCAGGTTTTGGCCTTCATCACATTTCAATTTACTAGGCTTTACTCTTTAGAGCAGTATATTAGAAAATAGCATATAGTGTCTGTATTTTTTATAGTAACAGATTACTCTTGAACTTTCCGTTTGTGTTCCACCACTTCATCTACAGTCACACTTTTAAAGGCTGGGCTTTCTCTGAGCGCAGAAGCCCTCTTTTTAAATCTATAAGTGTTTGCCTGTATCACAGATTACTCCTTGCTGCATCTTGACATATTCATTTCCAAAAATGACCATGCACTTGCATTTACTTTTTCCCCCTTTCTTATTGAGGAGGTTACTTTAAAACTAGTGGATGAAAATAAGATAGTATGAAAGTCTCTTAAAATGTTCCGAGTAGAGGACTTAGAAGTGCTTTGCCTTCAGAGCACAGTTCTTAGTGGAGTTATAAATCATCTGTGTTTTGCCCACAAAGCACATGCTAATATTAAGTTGTTTTTAAAGTGATTGTGTTGCATCACCATGGCTCTCCTGTGTTCTGTAGGGTATCATGTTGCTTTAATGTAATGAACCAGGTCCTCAGCTCCTAAATCTCCGTGCTGGAAATGATTACAGAAACTGACTGGCTATGTCTGAAGTTTTATGAATCTTGAGAATTTCTTCTTCTTTAAAAAGAGAAAAAAAAAATCTTACAAAGACTTTTCTTATTCTTTGAGGGGAAAGTCCTGTGTTTCTACCATGTTCTGTTGCAAATATCAGTGATTTTAGGTTATATACCATTCTGTTTGAAAAATAAGCATTATCTCTACTGCAAGGTCTGTGTTTTAACTTGGTGCAGATGTGTGCTAAAAGAACATGATGTGCTTATTTGTTGCATTTATGCTACTTTCTTACTTTAAGTAAGATGGATGAAATTACATATTAAATAAAAACAGCAGCTCAAACAGCAGTCCTTAGCAAACTGAAAAAACCTTCCAGAGAGAGTGGAGAAAATGAGAATATGACTGTAATAGCTCATTGGCTTTTGAGAGAATTGTCTGTTTAAAAGCATGTGTGTAATAATTTATCTGTGGCATTTGCTCAGTGTTAACTGTCTGTTGTTTAAAAGCAATCTGCCATTTAATTATATTGGTAAAAATAAAAAATATTATCCCAAATACTGTGTTTTCTATCATAACCAAATGTAGTCCATTATCTTTTACCCTCCTTTAGTTCTACACAGACACACACTAGTGGCATTAAACTCCAGTTAGTGGAAATAGCTGCATGGCCTCGGGCAGGTTATTTAACCTTCTTGAACCTCAGTTTTCCTTCTCTGTATAATATGATGCCTTGCTTTTCAGATTATTGTCATTGGTTCAGTGAGAATATCCACACAGCATCTGTAGTGTCCTGCTGGCACACACTAAGCATTCTGTTCCAAGCTTCCCACATGTGTTTTCATTAGGGACTTCTGAGCTACAAAGTACATTGCACTGAATACAGCTATACTCAGTCCCAAAGTGAGACTTTTGAGTGTACCAAATGAGCTTTACTTGGGATACTTAGCCAGCATATATTTGTTGTGTGGCTGCTAAACATATAATATTGCTTGCTGTCATAAGCAGTCCAGGGGATTTGAAATCCAGGAAGGGAGAGCCCTGTCCAAGTGCTTATAGTCCCTTTCACCTTTTGTTTGCTACTTCTCTTTTTCTGTGACTTTGTAGTTAATTTTAAGAAAGTCCCTACCCCCACACCCACAAAAAGCACTTGACTTTCTTCTGTGGACAGTTAAAAATAGAGTTGATCAATATGAAACAGTAGTAAGAGTACAACTTGGTGCTTTTTGTTAATTGATTTTAGTTTCTAGTGCCCTCAGGCTTGTATGTGTGAGAATGAAAATGATATATGAAATCCATACCCAGGTTAAACAGGCCAATATATTTTTCTTACATCTGGAATCATCCTGTACTAAGACTCCAAGTAGCAAGCCGTACTGATTCTTTTGTCATTGAGCCAGAAATTGTATAGGGCTTGCGTATGTTTCTTCCATTTGGTTGCTTTTATTAATTATCAAATGCTATTGGAAGTTATAGATTTACAGGGATGAATATAGTTTTTGGCATTTAAACAGATGCTTGTAAGCCAGAATCTTGAGGATCTGAAAGACGTTTTGCTAAAGAGCCAGTTGCAGACCAGTAAAGCCAAGAGGAAAAATACCAGGGAAGCCTGCTCAGCAGGGTGGGAATTATTTAGAAAGTTGTCTGAGGAAGTTGGCTCTGGACAGAGGTTGTCATGTGTCGTCTCTTCTGTCAATCAGAGCTCCAACAGCTGTTCCCTGTCACCAGGGCCCTTGTTTGCTACTGCCCATCCATCAGCACTAAGAGCGGCTGCCACTCCCCTGACTGGGGAAGCCTCATACACTCAGACTCACAGTGGGTCTTTTGCTGGCCAGCAGTCTGGAAGTTCATTCCTAAAGAGAGATGCCCCATGGTCTTTTGTAGTTGGATTAGTTGGATGCTGGAGAGATCTGGTTTTGACCCAAAGTAGGTTGTAGAAATGTAAAAGGGTGGCACATTTGGACTTGATAAGGTGCTCTAGTTAAATCAAAGTTACAGGAGCTTTCTCCACCAAAACCAGATTATCAATGCCATAGTGTCACCTAGGAGGCCTCTTCTAGTTGAATATAATGGTGGAAAAAGACATTGAATCACAAGCATTCCTTTTGTGATGATGCAGCAACCTGCCAAATGGGATACGTCCCACTTCTGATTATAGAAAAACCTTCAGCCATTTCCTTTTTGCTTTGTATTCAAGAGACATCCTTAGAGGAAGAGGATTTGAAGGCATTAGTATCACTATCTGTCTGATTACTGTGTTGACATTTTTAAAGTGCCATTAATCATAGGAAATGGAACTTAATGATGTAAAAAAACACCCAGCCAAGCGATGTCAAGAAAGTAAGCTACAGCCCAATATTCACATTAAATAGAAGGGAAATGCATCTTAACCCTTTATTTGTTTTTATTCCTTATTCCTAAACTCCAAAGTTCAATAATTGAGAGCAGCTGAGCGAACCAGGAAAATAGTAAACAGCAAAAGGACATTTTTAAAGACCAATGTTTTATTTCATAAATATTGCAGCTTTATAATATGTAAGGTATATGAAGATAATATTCATCTTTAGATTATGATTGAAATCTTGCTGGGTTCACTTAGAAATAAAATTACCCTTTGTTTAAAAAAATATCTTCTCCCATATTTTCTCTGTTGGCAAGATTTTCAGTGTACTTGATGTAAGGTAGTCAATAGAGTAACTGTTGAAGAAATTTCAGTTATTGGAATAATAGTGTACTACACAGGCAATACTCCTCAATAAGGTGATTAGAAACTAATATGGGCCCAGCATGGTAGCCTAGTGGCTAGGGTCCTTGCCTTGCGCATGCCGGAATCCCTTATGGGTGCTGGTTCTGATCCCAGTGGTCCTACTTCCCATCCAGCTCCTTGCTTCTGGCCTGGGGTTGAGGGGCAGTTGAGGATGGCCCTGGGCCTTGGGACCCTGCCACCCCTATGGGAGACCCGGAGGAGGCTCCTGGCTTCAGATCGGTTCAGCTCCAGCTGTTGCAGTTGCTTGAGGAATGGATTAGCGGATGGAGGGTCTTCCTCTCTGTCTCTCCTCCCTCTGTATATCTGGCTTTCCAATAAATAAATAAATAATAATAATAAAAGTAATATTGTTCATGTGTTGCACATTTTTTTTTCTGCTGCAGGTTTTTATCATCCTTTGGTGGTACACTGTGTGAGATTGGAAAGCCTGAAATGAAACAAAAAATAAATTCATTCCTTGAAAAGGAAGGAATAGAGAAAATCGCACAAAGGCTGCAAACAACAGTTCCTACCTTACAAGTCATTGTGGATGGTCTCAGTCAGCCTGAAAGCTTTGACTTTCGAACAGGTAAGCAGTTGAAAACCAGCACCTGGCATTTCTATAGCTCACATTATCTCTTCTGGTCCCCGCAAAAACCCTATGCCATCAGCAAAAGAGATTTTATCCTCCCATTCCATACTGAGAAAATTGAAGCTTAGTGGCCTACCTTAGAGGTCATTAACATTAATATCCAGAAACAAAGCTAGAAGCCTGGTCATGGAACTCTTTGTCCACTGTTTATTCCCTGGAATGAATGTGCCATGCACATTCGGCTGTGTGCATAGAGGCACGCACTTTTCGTCCTTTATAAGCTGTTTCATCTAGGAGCCAGAAACCCAAGGGAAGGCATTCCATTCACAGGTTGAAAGTGAATCTTCCCCCTGTATTCCAGCCTTCGAATTTTGTGGATTCTGTGTCAATGAAGACATTCAACAAATTAGATAATATCTCTTTGGTGATTAAAAGTGTTCTAATTAAAAGTGTTCTCAGTTTTCGAGCACAGGTAGTAGATGAGGGAAGTATAACAGCCATAGTTGTTGAGAGCAATGACCCGGTGAAAAAAGAATTAAGGTATCAAATGACCTGCTTCCCAAGGAAGTTTGAATAGGAACCCCTGAGATTTCAATGAATCTGCATACTTGTCTTATAACCAGTTCTGGATGAGACCGTATTTAGGTTTGGCTGTTTTCTCTCCCAGTTGGTCTTTGTTGCAGTGGTTAGACATGCTTCTTTGGGAAAGCTAAGGAAATTTAAAAGCACTGCCAGCAAGTACCTTGTCCCATTCTCTCAGCTCTTCTGTATGTTTTAAATTAAACAAAGAAAAATATCAAGACAACACCTCAGTAGAGCAACACCAAAGGTGTGGAAGCAGAAGCTTTCCCCACCCCTAGCAGCCTGTGCGGTGAGCACATCCGTCTCCACCTAGAGGCCGGCTGCCTTTTATGTGAACTCCATGGGCCTTGTCCAGCTCTAGCTTATACACTAAGTCTTTGAACAGTATGGTATTTAGTGGTGATAGGCCTATACCACCTGCATTCAAGGGCTCACAAATGTGAGTGTACCTCAGAAGGTCTTGGAAAATGAAATTAAAAAGTGAACTTACATTGCTGCAAGAGCAAATTTTTTTAAATCTATGTATAGTTTCTTCATAACAGGTATTTTTTCTTGAATCGTTTGAAGTACCCTTGTGTACAATGGTTTCAGATATCCTGTAATAGATATTCTTGTTTACCTTTGTTTTTTGTCATGGTGTTGATTGTTGCATTATTTTATTTATGCTGTAAACTAAGAACAAAAATCAGTACTTAAATTACAGGTCCAATTAAGCAGGCTAAATAGTGTGACAGTTCTTTTCTGGGTTGCCTTTAGTTGGACAGAAGCACAGGTTTATCCATGCTCTGGTCTGAACTCTCCAAAGCTATTACAGTATTTTAGTCTTTAATGAAGGATGTGTTTATTTATTTATTTGGAAAGCATAACATTAGAGTATGAGACAGAACTTTTTCCTCTGGTTCACTCCTCAAATGCCTACAACAGCCAAGTTAAAACCAGAAACTCAGTCCTGATCAACCATATGGATGTTGGGGACTCAAGCACTTGGGCCATCTTCCACTGCCTTCCTCGGCACGTAAGCGGGAAGCTGGATCAGAAGTGGAGCAGCTGAGACTTTAGCTCCTTTATGGGGTGTTGGTGTTGTGAGCAACTTACTTTGCTGTGCCATAACACTGACTGTAACTACTAGAGTGTTTTTCAATATGACATATGAAATTCCAATTAGACTCCACCAAAAATTATTTATTTTCAAGGCAGAATGACAGAGAGGGAGAGACAGATCTTCTGTCTACTAGTTCTTTCCTAGAAGTCTGCAATACGCAGGGTTAGAGCCAAGGGCAAAGTCAGGAACCAGGAACTCCATCCTGGTCTCTGAAGTAAGTGGTCTATACCAAGAATTTGGACTATATTCCACTGCATTTCTAGGCACATTAACAGGAAGCTGAATTGGAAGCAGAACAGCCAGGACTTGAATGGCCCCCTGATGTGGAAAAACCAGCACAGCAAGTAGCAAGTTAGCTTCCTGTGGCACAGTGCCAGCCCCTCATACACATCTCTTTAAGTAAACTTAGGAACTAACTTTTGCCCTTCTGTAAGTCACAATTTTTCAAGATAATTTGAGAATTTTGTTTTATTGCTAACCTCAACCCCAAAAGGGAAGCAGCCAAGAGCCAGCCTTTTGAGAGGGTGCATAGTATTTTGGGAATCTCCACAATATAGTAGTATTTCTGTTAAATATTTTGTCTCAATTTACTCAAAAATATTTCCTTTGCTAATGCCTCTTCCTTTCTTTTCTCACCTTCATCCTGTATTCCATTCTCCCCATTATGTAAGCAATTCCATTTTTATTAGCACTGTGGGTGCTAGTTAGTTTCCATAATTGGGTTCCACAGAAGGAGCCTAGTCACCATGTGGATTGCTGCCTTGGTTATGAAAGTGTTAAAGTTTGCATGGTATGAGGAGGATTTTCTGATTTCTCAGTGGCCCAGACTGTCTTCAGGAACATGTTAAGTAGTTCCTGACTCTGATTTTCCATGCAAACTTAAACTAAGCAGCTGATCAGGAACCCTTGGGAAATCTGCAGCAGCTGGGCCTCTGCAAGAAAATAGAAGGAAAAAAAAAAAAAAACCGTTTCCAAGCATAAAAACCAAGACTTTCTGGGCCCTCAGAGTCCATCTTGCCTCTGGCCCTGGGCAGCGACTTAGTTTCACTTTGCTTTGACACAGCCCTCACCAAGTATAATATTACATTACAGTAGGTTGCTTGCCTTTTTGAATTCACTACTTCAGCATCATGTGAAATTCTGCAAAACCAGTTCCAGTTTTCGCCTTTTTTTTTAATGACGAAAAATGAGATTCAGAATTTAAGCATGGTTTTTGGTTTGTTTTACAGGGGGAAAAAAGGCTTAATTTTTAAGAAACCCTGCTTTCAGTATAGTTGGACTGGGGGAGGGGAAGGAAGAGGTGACCAGTTGTTAATACAAATGTAAAGGATAGCTTTAACAAGTAATCAGGATAAAGCCAACAGCTGTGGAGGAAAAGGAAATGGACTGGGTGGAGGGGAAAATGAGGTCTGAGTAAAAAGAGATCCAAGCAGAGAATGTGTTCTTTGTTACTAGAGTCAACACTCAGTAATCCTAGGAAAGGGGCCAAGAAGAGCATGGAGTCCGCAGAGAATTCACCAGCCCCGTTGGCACTGTCAGTTCTAACCATCTTCCTCATAAAACCTGTGTTGTTGTTTTAACAAAAGCCGTAGCGATTCCTTGGTGTACTTTATGCCCACCTTTTGGAGGTTAGTGTTAATGAATGGAGAAATGTACACTTTGGTAAGCAAAAAAAGAGGGCGGGGAAGGAACTTGAGAGAAGAGATGCAAGTGTCTTCATCTTTGAATCTCTAGCACCAGCAGAGTGTCTGGCTGGGAGATAAGAACAGGAGTTCATCAATGTTTGATGAATTGAAAGAAGAGAAAGAAGATTAAGCTCTAGCTGGGCTCAATTCCTGAACCATAGATAATCAAGAAACCATAGATAATCAAGAAATTTATATTGGATATATATATTTGAAATTGATTAAAAAAAATTTTTTTTTGATTCCTGAGTTCCAAATGTTGTTGGAAGAAGTCAGAATGAAAACATTTAAATTTCACCCACATTTCACCAAAAGTTGATACACTTTTTATGGCCTTGAAACAGTGTCAGCATCCAGAAGACTCCCTCCCGGTTATCTGCCTCCAGAGTCATACATTCTTGATTTGTGTGATTTAGCCTGTGTGTATTGAGATTGATGTCTTCTCATCACCTAAAATGGAACTCGTCTCCTCAGTCTCCATGTATTGCCCTAATGTTCATGTGTTACTGGAGTAGAATTGGGGGAGAAGGAAGTGTTTAAATAAATTTCCCAGAATTATTTCTATACTGGGAAAGCTGTTTTTCCTACATCATGCCTTTTTATAAGCAGGCCTGTGTCTTCAAATCCTATTCTGTCTCTTTTCAACACTTAATTTTGGTCTGAGCATATAATCAAGATATTGTAAATCCTTCTCACTATGCTGTGTTGTGTCTAGGACATACAGTGTCTTGTTTATTACACTAACTTGTTTCCCTTTCCATGCAGATTTCAATAAACCTGACTTCAAGAGAAGCATAGTTTGCCTGGAAGATCTGCAGGTTGGGACAATTCTTACGGGCAAAGTTGAGAACGCCACTCTGTTTGGAATTTTTGTGGATATAGGAGTAGGAAAAACAGGGCTGATTCCAATTCGAAATGTAACAGAAGCAAAACTTTCCAAAACGAAGAAGAGAAGGAGTCTTGGTTTGGGCCCTGGAGAAAAAGTGGAAGTCCAAGTGCTCAACATTGACATCCCCCGATCGAGGATCACTCTGGACCTCATCCGGGTGTTGTGAGTGCCCTGCTGCCAACCAAACACTGACTTGACTTCTTTATTTGTACAGATTGACAAAGGTAGCTGCGTGTTTATGAATTCTAGATAGTAGATGAGAAAGAATTCACTTAATATTAGGAGCCTTTTCCACGCACTTATTTTTCCTTTTGTGTAAACAGAAAACTAATAGCTTCATTTCCTTTTCCCTCAAAGAAAGCAACTAGTAGAAACCCTTATGGTTTCATGAGCTACTGGTTTTCTGACTCAAATTTTATTTTTTATAAATTTATCTTCAACTCTTTTTGAATTTTGCACAGCAGATTTTTGAGTTCTATTTACCAGCTTCTCCTCCCATGGTTTTCTTGATTTGAACTGTACAATGTTTGTTGACACAGGAGGGCTGGCATTGTTTAATTTTCCCATTTTATATATTTTCTATCAGGCCATTTGATTCAATTCATGATTTTGCAGTAATCTTGATTTTTTTTTCCCTTACTAAGCAACAAATTATGCCAGTAAAATCAAGTCTGATGTGTTTGCAACCATCAAGTGAGTGGCTGAAGACATACAATGCCTTAGTATGATATTTGTATTGATTCCAACAATAAAGCTTTGTGGCTAATGATCTGTTTTTGCATTTTGTTCAGTGAATGACCTAGAAGTCAGTCTTGATTAAAGAAGATGTGATTCATACAGCTGTACCTTTGGGGAAGAAGAAAGTTCTGAAATTTTGAAGAATGGCTTTCTTTGACTTAGCATTTCTTTTTTTTTTTTTTTAAGATATATTTATTTATTTATTGGAAAGTCAGATGTACAGAGAGGAGGAGAGACAGAGAGGAAGATCTTCCGTCCAATGATTCACTCCCCAACTGAGCACAACAGCTGGTGCTATGCCGATCCAAAGCCAGGATCCAGGAACTTCTTCTGGGTATCCCACTCGGGTGCAGGGTCCCAAAGCTTTGGGCCATCCTCGACTGCTTTCCCAGACCACAAGCAGGGAGCTAGGTGGGAAGTGGAGCTGCCAGGATTAGAACTGGCACCCACATGGGATCCCGGGGTGTTCAAGGCGAGGACTTTAGCTGCTAGGCCACGCCACCAGGCCAACTTAGCATTTCTTAACCATGGTGATTAAACATACAGGGATAAAGATGGCTTTCTTACAGATTGACTACCGATGAGATGTGAGAGGATAAGAAAACAGTTGATAAAGGAGTGATTCCTACTCTAGTTTTGTTCCGTGGAAATGATATTAGCCTGGCCAATCGAGGTTAGAGTGATTTAAATAGAGCCCACATAGGACTATATCCTGTCCAGTTTGACTATTCCTAATTTTTAATGGAATACCTGATTTTCTCCTTGTGTAAATGAGTGGGAGATGATTACTGAAGAAGGTGACCAATTCTGTTAGTTTACCTGAGACAGTCCTAATAAGCACCTGTTGAAGTGCCTCTTTTTCTTCTCAGAGGTCCTCTACTTTGGATACTAAATCAAGACTCACCTAATAGTTGTGGTCACTTACAAGTAACAACTGTGTTGGGCCCGGCGCGGTGGCGCAGTGGTTAAAGTCCTTGCCTTGCACGCCCCGGGATCCCATATGGGCGCCAGTTCTAATCCCGGCGGCCCCTCTTCCCATCCTGCTCCCTGCCTGTGGCCTGGGAAAGCAGTCGAGGATGGCCCAAAGCTTTGGGACCCTGTACCCGCACGGGAGACCCGGAAGAGGCTCCTGGCTTCAGATCGGCATAGTATCGGCTGTTGTGCTCACTTGGGGAGTGAATCATTGGTCGGAAGATCTTCCTCTCTGTCTCTCCTCTCTGTATATCCGCCTTTCCAATAAAAATAAATAAATCTTTTTAAAAAAAAGAAACAAGTAATAACTGTGACTGATTCATTATAGTTCTGCTTGGTTGTCTGCTCTCCCAAAATATGCAACTTAAAAAAAAAAGATGTATTAATCTGAAAGGCAAAATTCACAGAGAGGAGAAACGGAGAGAGAGAGAGAGAAAGAAATGCTCCATCTCTTGGTTCATTCCCCACATGACCACAGTGACCTATCTGAAGCCATGAACCTAGAACCCCATCTAGCTCTCCCACATGAATAGCAAGGACCCAAGCACTTGGGCCATTTCTTTCTGCCTTCTGTAGCATATTCGCAGGGAGATGGATGGGAAGTGAGTCAAACAGCACTCAAACTCACAGATGGCAGCTTAACTTGCAGTGCCATGATTCCAGCCTGCATCCCATGTGAGCACCAGTTCAAGTCCTGATTGGTCATTTCTTATCTAATATTCTGCTAATCTGCTTGGAAAAACCTACAAAAGATGGTCCAAATGACTGTACCCAGTCACCCACATGGGAGACTCTCTCCAGGTTTCATCCTGGCCCTTCCCTGGCCATTGTGACCATTTGGGAAGTGGACCAGAAGATGGAAAATCTCTCTAACTCATTGTTGGTAGATGTTGTTGTTGTTATTATTATTACAGTAAGTTCCTTAAAAGTTTTCTGACACCCATGGAGGATCTGTGAGGTCTAAGCTGGGAAAAGAGGTTATGTTTCATCTGTGATTGTAGCATGCAGTCAGTATGTATACTACTCCATTCTTTATTCTACTATACTCTGTGAGCCCCCTTTAAATGGGGATGATGATGATAAAGCATTGTGTCCCCTTGGAAACAGTTATTTCTGCCCTGCAGTGTGCTGAAATTGTACTAAACTGTGGCGATAAAACTGGGATAGAAAAAGAGACAGCAGCATCCTTGCTCTTACAGAGTGTTGTCTACTGAAAGAGTCATTGAAGAAGCACATGAGAACAGAAAGCTACAGCTGTGATAAGTGATACTCTGGCGATAGCATAGAATAAATGAGCTGTCTCTGGAAATATCCCAGTGGCATTTTCCTGAAATATGGAAGATTATCAGAATTAACTAGGACAGATGTTCTGTTGACCTTAATAAAAATTGCTTCTGATAAATGGGCTGAGGCTCAGTGGAGAGAATGTAGGAGAGGACAGGAAGCTGGGGTTTGGAAAAAGCAAGCAAAGACAGTTCTTTGGGAGTTTGGCTAGAAAAGAAGAAGAAAAATAACAGTGTCTGGAAGGGGACAATATAGTCAGGTGAGTTTGTCAAATCTTTGAAGACAAATAATTTATACCAATGGAAGCAGTCCCATGAAAGAGGAAAACTTTTATGTAAGAATTAGAATTACTGAAATAATCTTTTTATGAGGTCAATAGAATCTAGTGTACAAATGGCTGGGAATACAAAGAGTTCATACATTTAATGGGCAAAAATGTTTGACTATATGGGCACCATTACAGATAGGTAAATATGGGAGCTTGCGAAAGGTGTCTCTGGGTTTCCCCTCTTATTTTTTTTTATTGAAATATTAAGGAAGGTCATCATCATCATCATCATCTTGTGAGACTAAAGGGAATTGGAGGTTGGAAGTAAAAAGGGAAAGTAGAAAAATGAAAATGAGAGAAGAAAAAACAGTTTTAATGAAAGAATTCATCTTGGACAGGTAGAATTTGGGATAGTCATTGAATGTCCATGTGGGGATGCCAGTGTTTTTCTGAGTTTCAAGTTCAGGGCAGAGCACCAGATTGAAAAAGTCAGTCTGTAGGTCACTTCTAGCCATGAAATTGAATATGAAACTAATGGAGTAAGTTACAACAAGCAGGTCCACAAGCGGAGATGTTGAAAATCCAAGCCACTCTGCCATGAATTCCTTTAACCCTTCCATCAGTACAGGAATTTTGTCTTATGGCAATGCCTGCTATACATCTACTAAGATTTCTCCTTTTTGCTTACTAAGAGAACTCTGATTTGAAGCGAGCAGTAAAGTGGCTGACTAAAAAGGTAGGCACAACCATCTGATGCAATTCTGGCCAGTTGAGTACCGGCAACAGTCATGGGAAGGGATTCTAGGGAAGTTAGAATGGCAAGGAAGTTGAACTTAGCCATCATGTGTTTATTAATGTTTGCCATTGTCCTTCCAGATTGGTATTGCCAAAAGTGCTGCAGGTCAATAGAGATGGCAAAAAGGCACGATAGACAGTTCCTTAGTCCATCTTGGCATTAAGGACTAACCAGTGGAGCTGTGAAACACTTGCTTTTGATTTCATGGTTTATAAGAACGTGTGTAGGAGAACAAGGATTTATAGCAGAGTGTGTTTCATAATGTATGCATAAATTTAAAAAATAATAAGCAAATATGGAAAGACTTTTGAGAAGCGATTGAATAGCCATGGTTGCAGACATAAGGAAAGTAGGGGAAATTGGGCCATAGACCTGAAAGTTCCATCCAGAAGGCATTTCCTAAACACCTACAGTGAGACTGTGCCAAGTGCTGAGGACGAAAGATGAATAAGACGTCTTTTGAGGCTACGTTCAGCCTGGAGGACTTAGCTTTTAAGCTGCTACAAAAGAGATTTTTAACTGAATGGCCTGGGCACTTTGGGGTACAGCCAGGCTGCTGCTAACTTCAAAACATGGTCGCATCCTAACTCATCAGAAACCACCAGGACCCTTGGAGAGCTTAGCTCTTGATTGATGGGATGCTTGCTCATGTTGGGGTGTCTATGTATCTAACCCTGACCTAAGAATTAACACTTTTGTTAAAATTGGGAGTTGGTAAGAAGGCACAGAGATGGAAAAACCAAAAATATATTTAGTCCATCTTTTTATTTTGGCTTCTTGCCTAAAATCAGTCATTATGAGTTGGATTTAAATAACAGATCCTGGAGAACTCCTGAATGACTGGGCTCTTTGCCAAAACAGTCTGGTCTACAGGAAGAAAGATTAGATTTCTTCTCGCTCACTCATTTTATATGGTGAGGATGACTTTCTGTATGAAGGCTCAGTTTCTTAGGGAGCAAGTGGGATAAGGAGATTGTGCTCCTGTCAGCACTAAAAATTACCTTTTTTGAAGTTAATTTGAAAGTCACCCCCAGAAAATACTGGTTGTTCCCCTTGCCACCTACCAAAAATAAGGATTGTCATATACTTCCCGCAAATATTTTAAAGGAAAGAAGTCCCATCTTGAAGAAAGGAAATAAAGGATTAATCTAAGTATTACAGAGCAACCTCTCAGATGCCTGAGCGTGTGTCACAACTGATGCATTAAACTCATGCAGCCCTGCTCTGGAAGAACAATCTGAAGTAAAAGACAAAATGGTGAAGCCCAAGATGGGGGAGGGAGGGAAAGCAATCTACCAATTCCATGTTGTTGGATTACCCCAAGTTTTACTCCAGCGGTTGGGCCAAAAAGAAGTTCAGATTTATTGCAGTATTTTGCAAAAGCAATCAAGTAACAGATAGGTGAAAACCTGCTACTGAAAGCTCCACTTCTGACAGACTTCCCACCTCCATGTAGCCAGCCAGGCTCACTGTCACTGGGAAATTTCTCTCAAGGCAGCATGCCTGTTAGCTGTCCTCCCATCTCAGCAGTTGGTCCTGCAACATTTGCCCACTTCTTCCCAGGTTTCAGTCTCTTGGCAATGAAGGAGGTGGTAGCTCCAAGGAACATCAAACCTATGATCTGCTCAAGTTCTTGGCTCTGCAGAGTTAAAGCAGTTCCATGAAGCTAAAATTCCAAATGCTTGTTGAGTCCAGTTTGGTTTAATTTACT